GTCAGACATGCCCTGCCCTCCCCACTCCTGCAAACACTTGCTTCTAAACTAAAATCAGGGAGGTTGGCTTTTTGCTCAGGAGTAACATACTGCCTAACACAAAGCATGCACTTTCTTTCCTCCCCCTTGAGGATGTCAGCTCTACAAGGGCGGAACTGTGGCCCATCTGGGTCATGACTGAGCTTGTGTGCGGCATGAGGGACTCCTGAATGAACACCCTTCTGGAAGCCCCCTTGCACCTGCAAGCATGCACACACATTTTTGCACAAAAGGCAAGGGGCCTTTCCCTGCTCAACAGTGTATCCTGGAGGGCTGCCAGACAGAAGCACAGCCTGTTCCCTGACTGTCTGAGGCTGCAGACTGTGGCACTGGAGGACCCAAATGGGGCTGCTAGCCCTCTGCCCTGAGCAAGGCTGCAGGAGATGCATCCCGGTCAGTCCCACCTGCCAGCAGACTCAGTCAGGAGCCCCTCCCTCCCCCACAGGCAGGCAGGTGGGGGAACACCCCAGAAGTGCAGCCTTGGGAGAAAGCGAGCTGTTTATCTTCAGAGATAATCAGGTCTATCAGGCAGAAGCTTGATCTTGTTCCCTGCCTCATTCTTTCTGAAATGCATAGCGTCAGACACTAAGGCACAGACATCAGAGGAAGTCAGGTGGCACTGTCGTTTTTTATAGCTAGGCAGTGTGTATGTGTGTGTGTGTGTGTGTGTGTATGAAGGGGGTGCGGGGGTGGGGCACTGAGTGACACTTCAGTGATGCTTTTGCAGGAATGGGAATTGGAAGGGGCCACTCCACTCCTCTGTGCAGGAGAGTATGGGACTCTGGGGAGATCCTGTCCTTCTCAAACCCTCCGTGTTTTGAATTTTAACTTCTTTTCCTTTTTTTCTTACCCTCTGGGGGACTGTTTGTACAGGGGCATCATCGTCACTTCACATTTTGGTGTTTACTACCCACTAGCTACTCATTCCCAAGAGTGGGGCTTAGTCTCCTTCACCCCCCCCCCCACACACAGTAGGTGCTTACTGACTGCACAGAGCTATGAGGCAATCATTGGAACCAGGCTTTCCTCCTGCCAAGGCTTTGAAAGCGGGGCTCCTGTCCATGAAAAGGTTACAGGCTTCCCACCTGACTAAGCCTGCACATAAGGTGGGAACTTCCTGATCATTGGATGGTAACTGACCCGGGGAATTGGTGCTTTGCAGGGTCAGACCAGCCCCCCGCTGAATGTGGCCACCCAGGCATTTGGTATTTGATGTGGCTGCACTTGTGTTTTAAACAGAAGGTGACTGCGATGCCTGGGGAGAGGCGTGGGGTGTGCCACAAGCCCCACCCGGCTCTATTACTCACCTTTCCTCCAGTCACCCGCTGCTAGTTGTGCCTGCCAGGTCCTGTGGGCTTCTGAGTTTGCACCTTCCGTTTTAAAGTACATGAAAAGTATGCAAACTGGTTTTGGTGTGCACAGAGGCTTGACCCTAGCATATTTATCAGGACAAGTTTAGCGGTGTCACTGTTAGAGGCCCCAAGAGTAAGCAGTTTCCCTTGGTGGCCTCGAAAGTTACCCATGGGCTCTTGGGTTAAAGGTTGAGGACACAATGCCCGCAGCCTGAGTCGCAAATCCTTAAATTCCAGGCTTCAAGCCTGCCAAGGGACACTTCCTCAGGCCCCCTGGAAGGGCTGGCTGGGAGTGGACTCAGGTAGCCATTGGCCCCCACCTTCCCGGAGGTTGAGATGATGCAAAGGGGGAAAGGCCTGACTTTGAAATATGCCAGAGCAGTGGGTAGTGGAAATCAGGGAGCGAGGATCGGCTATTCCACTGTTTCTGGCCTCTCCAAGGCCAAGCTGACAGGCAGCCAGCAGCTCCACTTGCACGCATTCATCTGTTCATTCACACTCAACACATTTTAGTTAAGTGCCTGCTATGTGCTGGGGAGCAGCACATAGGGAGTTATACTGATGGGGTCTCATGTCAGGGAGCTGGCATTCTGGGCAACAAAAGATAATCGATAAATGGCATGCCCAAGACAGTCCTAGATGATGATAAATGGTGAAGAAAATGAACAGGGTGATGGGGTGGTATGTGTCTTGGGGATTTTAGATAGAGGCGCCTCTCTAGGGAAGTGACATTGAACTGGCACCTGAAGACAGAAGACTGCTGTCTTGGGCAGAGGAAATGGCAAGTGCAAAGGTCCCGAGGCAGGGATGATTTGCCAAACTCACCCTTGGTGGGAATGGTTGAATAAATGGAAAGGGGGTGGTGGGAGCACAGCCTAAGGGGAGAATTTGTTCCCAGTGGATGTACAGGACATTCCCTTGCTCTGTCCCACCCTGGCCAAGGCTACTCACTACAGGTTGCCCAAAGTCCTTGGGTGACTTCCTTAACTCAGTCTCTTTATCTGTAAAATGGGTATACTGAAAGTCTTTCCCTCACCAAGGCTTAATAAGATGTTTGAGAAGCGCTTAGCTACTATTATTACTAACTGGCAATCCCACAGCTTAGGGGTGCTCCAGAGAGTCTCTTTGGGGGTGGAGTATTCTTTGGCAAGTTTCCAAAGCTGATGTTCTTTCATCCCCAGGGCAGCAGCTCAGAGCCCAGAAGCAAAGGTGCAGTGCAGCTGAATAACTGTGGGGGCACTTGGGGGTAGGGGTGGGGCGGGTAGGGATTTGGCTGATACCACTTTAAGCACATCCTTTCAAATGGGGTTCAGAGTACCCAACTGGAATTATTTGTTGAGTGAATCTCCCTAGGCCTCAATTTCCCTGTAACATGGGTTCAATACCAGCCCCCACCCATTTGAGGTTCTGGGGGGAGCATTCATGAGTTGCTGTAACTTACACTTATGTTACTTACTACCTTCAGCCCCTGAGGATGGGATTGGTCCCCAGAGATGGGGCAGGTGACAAGAGGAACGCCTCTCCTGGAACATGCTGGTCTAGAAGATACTGATGGTGGAGGCCTCTGGCTCATCTGGGGGTTTCCAAGTGACCTCAGGGACATTACAAGGCAAGACAGTCCCCCTGCCTGCCTGTGGGCACAGTCTCAGCCCACATCCCCCTTCCCTGCAAACCTTAGGAGCAGAACCAGGAGGAACCCCAGAAGGCACCCCCAAAGCCCCTCCTCCAGTACCAAATCTGGAACTGAATCTCAATGAAATGCAAATCCCCCTGGAGTGTTCTCAGGTGAGATGGGTGGGTAGGTGGGGGAGGGTAGCCCCAAGAAGTTGGGGTGAGGCTGACTGAAGGGGTTCTTCTCATTTTATCCTCCTTCAGGCCCCTTCTGGCTTCTAAGCTGTGGCTACTCAAGGTTGGATCAGGCAGCACTGGAGTTGGGGGGGGGGAAGTGGGGGAGGGAAGTGACATTGACCTATGACCCCTCCTCGTGCCAAACTGCAGGCTGCTCCTGGCCTCTACCAACACTTCCCTTTCTTAGGATTTTGTCAGCCCAGTGCTCCCCCACCCCCTATAAATGGATACCAGCAGCAGAGGTGGCCTAGAGGGACAACTTGCCTTGGTGGAGCAGGCAACCCCAGCCTGCTGGCAGGAGGTGTAGGCTAGCTGGCCCTGGAAACCGCATGGCCGCCTCCCCACCGCAGCCATTCCCCCACTCCCCCTGGGGGTTCTCAGATGTTGGCAGATGGCAGAACTGAATCTGCTGAGATGTAGCTCCAAAAAAGGAAAGTTGAACTGAAAAAAAAAAATTCAAACTCTCCAACATCTTAGGAAAAGCAGAGGAGGAGGAAGAGGGAGGCTCCAGGCCTGGGGCTCCCAGTGCCCTCTGCTGTTTAGAAAGATCTCCTCCGGTTTGGGAGGGCAACCTGGGAGGGAGTGGGAAGAGGGGGCAAATGAGGACACGAGGTGGTGCAGGCTGCCAGTGGGCTCCTGCTGAAGCTGCCCGGTGCTCGGCCAGTCTGGAACCCAGGTGCTCCTGCAGTGGGAGCATCATGACTGTATGCGTCCCTCTGAGCGAAGCCCAGGCTTGCAGCAGCCTTGTCCCTGAATGTCCCCAAAAGGGTGTGCACTCAACAACACGAGTCCCTGCTGCAGAAGGGCAGGGAACACACCGAAACCCCTGCCCTGTGAAATCAGCCTCGCAGTGTGGTCTGCCTGCTGTGGTCTCCTGTGTTTTGAGTCTGTCCCAGACTGGCTGGCCTTTTGGGAAGTGGGGGTGAATTTCCCTGGCCTAGACCTCCTGTCTGCTAAGGCCCAGCGGGCTAAAGTTGGCTGGGGAGAGGTCTGCACTCCACTGCCTGAGAAAGAAACCCCCAGGAGCTCTGCAGGGCCAGCCCCAGCGCAGCTGTGTGTCCCTAAAAGGCCCACGTGTGGTCTCCCCGTGCGCCCCCTCCTCATCTCCTGGCCACTCCTGAGTTCTAATTTAATAGATGAAATGCATTCCAGGGAAGTATCTGGGGCTGGGTGGGAGGAGGGCGCCAGGCCAGCTGGAGAAGGGGGGCAGGATGGGGAGGCGTTTTCCCTTTGCTTCCTCCTTCGGGGAGCAGCTAAAAAGAAACTCGGCGTCGCGCCCAAGTGTGTGTGTGTGAGCGCGCGCGTGTGGTGTGTGTGTGTCGGGTGTGAGCGCCCGGCCCGGGAGGCGACGCGGGCCCTTTAAGAGCCTAAGGGGGCCGGGCCGGGGCGCGTCGGTGCGGGCGGGGTGCCGGGAGCT